TGTGACCCAAAGTCAGCAGATAGCGGGCTACTGACTGCTGTATGCTGACAGAGCAGAGTCACACCGCAGCCGGAAAGGATCCTGACAATGTTGTTTGAATCCACCCCGGCTGCCTAAGTGACAGCTGGCTCTGCCCCTGTCTGTGATCATAGCCACTCTGATGTGGCTGGTACTTTATCATTATGTGTGTTCTCAGGTGCCATGATCATTGCATACATGCACATTGTGGTTGGAGTTCTTATAATTACATGACAGCTTGGGTGCTATGTTTAGGGCGCATGTGCAGCGTAGATGGGGTCCTTATCATTGTGAGCGGTTATTACAGCTAGTTACATGGAGCTACATGCAAAACAGAAATTTTCACTGAGGGTTTAATATTACTTTAGATAGAAATATGGAAGCTGCTGCTTTTATGGCAATCAGGGGGTCAGGGGTCACCTAAGGTCTGACAGCTGCTGGCCTGTCAAATAGCTGACCTCATTCGCTGTCTGCTGTCTTCTTAATGTGCAGTATGTGAGGTTGTGCAGTTAACTGGTAGAATCTGTCAAATTTTGGGTGAACTCTGACACACCAGCTAGAATGTCAGGCACAGACTGTAAAGCTAAATTTAAAAAATGTATGTCTGCATAATTATAATACATATTATATGAATTTTAAGATTTTATTGAATAGAATTGATTCAAATGAGCTTGCTACCTAGATTATATCAACTCCAGCTAAAAGTGATTGGCAATTCACTTGTGGGTGCAAACTGATGCATCCACCCACATCAAGCACTCCAGCAGTGACACACTGGTCTCTTTCTTCTTGCAGTGTGAATTTCTTTATAATAAAAATATATTTAATATCCAACAGGAAGAGTGAGACCCCTTTCTTAATGGCTGCAGCCGGTGAGTAGAGTTGGAAAAAAAGGCCGTGATTGATTCAACCCATAAATGTCTACCCTAATAAATAAATAAATCAGTTCTGGGTGGTCAAACGCTTTAATTTTTTTTTTGCATCAAAGGGCTACACTTGGCACAAAGTTATATGCAAGCTGCATACATAGAAAGAGCCTGTATATGTCAGCGTTCCCTATTTATGTGTCGGCAGATGTTGGCTAAACCTGAGCTGTTAATTTAGTGAGTTTTTGAAGATTTACCAGACTGCAGGTTTAGGCTAGGGCTACACGGGCGATTTCATCTCTGCTGCTGAGAGATTTAACCACTTGTCGGCAGTTAGTTCACTTGCAGAATACTGAAATCAATTATCTCTATAGGAAAGCGTTTCAATAACCGTATAGCACTAGCTTTAAAGCTGAAGTCCAAGCAAACAGCTAAATACATAGCTGAAACACATACCTGCCAAAAATAATTTGTATCCAGTTCAGAGATTTACAGTTCCGCCTTCAGCACAGGCCTGCCTGGCAGGGAAGGGGACTTTCTCTGCTGCAGTTTAAGGCCCCGTTCACATTGAGCGATTTATCGCGCGGTAATTCCCGCAATATCGCGGCAATTTCCAGCGCGATATCGCTCTTCAATGCTTTGCAATGGGGCAAAGGGTCCTGCTGTGGCGGGTCGTGTATCGCTACATCAGGACCCTTTTTGGAGCGATTCAATAGTTTTTGATGCAAGCATTTGCGCGATATCGCGCAAAATGCAAATCGCGCGACAAACGCACGATTTGCGAATCGTCAAGTGTGAATGGGGCCTAACTTACACATACAGGTCCCCTCCCCACCCTGAGACTGGACAGTGAACTCAGAAGCAGCACACTGAGGAACTTATGTCTCTATCATTCTGCTGTCTGTCTCCTCCTATCAACATGCTCTTTGAACTAAAACACCTGATTACCTCCTTTGTTTTGCGCTCCCCCGCCTTCCTCCCAAGGATTACAGCGCTGCATCAATTTGTGTTTTTTTTTTGTATCCCAAAATGGATCACAAGAAAAGGGACAGGCAACCTCAAAACTTACATTTCACTTTTTGTAAATGCTACAGAGTTAAAGAGACTCCGAAAATAAGGCTGCATTCAGATACAGAGTGCATGCACATAGACTGTAAATGCATGCACCAGCCTGTGGTTCTGCTACTACAGCTGAATCTTGAGCTGTTTGAATCAAGGAAAGATATGAAAAGACATGATGCTTGCCTGCTCGCCTCCTCCACCATCCCTTTGGCCCATCAGTATGATGTGCTGCCTCATTGGCTAGTAGGAACCTTTATGAGGCAATATGGGGCAACTTGAGATCTCTGCACTCAAATCTGCAGTTCATTCCAATTCCTGCAGCAAATGTAAAGGATGTCCCTCTCGAACTGTTGGCGTGTTAATTGATTTTACTAATAAAGAGTGCAGTGGGAAGCATAAGAGAAGTTCTGTTTAAGAGCAGCTGTGAGACTCAAAAGTGGGTGTGAACTGTGGTAGTGGAATCTAAAGCCCACCACACATTTTTTAATTTGATTGCACAATCAACTTTGTACATATCTACAGCTATGTAGTGCAAGGCCTGCCTGATTGGATGCAAATAGAATGGATGTTTAGGTAGGCCCTCATATCACAGTTTGGTAAATCCTAAAGAGATTGTACAAAGATTATTCAATCAGATTGTTACGCACATAGCGAGCTTTAGAGAAATAAATGAGACTTCGCCAGGTGGCCTTACAACCAGACACCCAGTTTTGGGCTGGCTGACCCTTTAAACACAATGGGGGGAATTTATCAAAACTGGAGCAGACAGCATCTGGAGCAGTTGCCCACAGTAACCAATCAGCTTCTCTCTTCAGTTTGTTCAGTTAAACTTTGAAAATGAAAGATAGAAGCTGATTGGTTACTATGGGCAACTGCTCCAGATTCTGTCTGTTCCAGTATTGATAAAATCCCCTTAATAAGTTCATATGAAATGATGTTGTCTAGCATACGTGTAAGCAAATTATATATGGCAATTACCAGAGGTCATTTATCGCTGACAAGGGATGCTAATACAGAACCCTCTGTTCCGTATATATCCATCAGACAGGTGTTGGTAGTAGGAAAAGAAGAGCAGTCATTTTTAAATGAAATATCTGCAACATAACTTTTTATTCATTTGTCAAGTTCTGCATACTTAAAAAAGACAATAGAAACTGTTTGCCTCTTTTCTTTTAAAATGCTCAATGGCATATAATACCATGAATGTATCATTGGAGAGAAGCAGCATTGGAGATCCCATTATCATATCAGCCAACACTGTTACTTTTACTTAAGTCAAAGTACCCTTTTGTGCACCTGGGTGCATATTATTTGCAGCTACTTGCAAGCATCTGGAAATGCTTGAAAAAAAAGCTGCTCAGACCTCCAGTTATATGTAAATGATTAGGCCTCCTTATATCTCAGGGCAGATTGTCTTAATCGCGGCACAATCAGCAGGGTGAAACACCACCTTTCAGCCAGTAACCAAAGAATGTTGTTTTTCTGACTGCATGCATTCAAATATGGAAATTGGATTAAAGCTGAACTCCAGGCAGCTATGAAAGCACTAGAACGGTGTTCATATTCATTGAAACAATCTTTATATCTATTTTAAATGCAACTAGTGCAAGTACCTGATTTTTTCTTGATACCTCTGTAATTCTACTACAGCAATAACTAGGAGATGGAATGGCAGCACTAAGAGCCACTCAGGATCTTCTGTAGGGCACACGTGCTGACAGTGCTTCTGATAATGTGGGAGTGATGGCTGATCAATGTTCTGCTGTACTCTTGCTGCTTGGAGTTAGCGGACCTGGTTGTGCTATTTGGAAAAGTTAATGCACAGAACTACAAATCTTTTGCAAAAACAATTCCTTTATATGTAATCAGCTGCTTGTCTGGAGTTTAACTATGCAGAATTGCACTTCTTATTCACCTGTTGCTCCTTTCTCCAAACTAAATCTTAATAATACAGTAAAAATACTCCAATTTATTAACACATGATGGAATTAGCACATTATGAAATTACGTGGGGTTAGGCATGCAGAGAAAAATTTAAACTGAATCTGGGTTCATTGCCGTGTACTAGTAACCTCCAGTATGCACCAAAGTCAAAGAAGAGAGAGAAAAAGGAAAAATGTGGACATATTCTGATTAATGGATAGAAAAATGTCATGTGTAATATTTGCATTTGTTATAGGAAAGGTTCTGAACATGACCTTCCTGTGGGTTATTCCTGATGGAAATGATCCTACCACTATTTAGAATTTCAATCATAAGGGGCAATTACAGTGGCCTTATTCAATAATGCCTTTGTGCTAATTGTTGTTACCCTTAGCAAACACTGCGTTCCGTGTTTGGTTGCTATGGATAATGGATTGGGGATTATGGATAACTTGCTTTGCATCTAAAGTTTATTTAAACTAAGAACTGTCATTTAATTCATTGCATCCTACCTGTCCTTTTCACCAAGTGATCTTGCCAGTAAAACACTTTCTGTCCTACAGTGAAAGCGATCTGTCACTGTAAGGAGCAGCGTGTCACCTTAGAATGCTCGCTTTTGATTTGGTCTACAGGACACCTCATCGCCATAACATAGGGAGGAGTGTTCTGTAGTTCCCAGAGGTGACTTAGGCAAAACTGATAACATTGGTTGTGATTTCAGTACAGCACAGGCAGAGTTCACAGGAAGTTAGGAGCTCAACAAATTCATGGTATTTTGCTGACTTTGACACAGAACACGGGCCATGTATTGAAGGGATGTACTGAATATGTTAATTTTTTATTTTGCCCACACATACACGTTAGAATTAGAACTTAATAATACTGTATTGAAGAAGGGCATTAGTCTTGGTTTAGTTCAAGTGAGCAAAATGAAGCCCCAAAACCAAGCCTGTATATGTACACCAAAGATTTGTAGTTGGATAGGTGTTATCTAGGCTAAAAATGTCAGAAGTACAAATCTTTAGATCATTTTTTGCCTGCCATATGCAGATGCCCTCAAGGGCATGTTACTTGTTATCATTTTTGTTAATTGTGATCACACTAAATACATTTTTTTATCTTTCTTTTTAGAATTCCATCAGACATAACCTTTCCCTACATACACGTTTCATTCGTGTTCAGAATGAGGGAACTGGAAAAAGTTCTTGGTGGATGCTAAACCCAGAAGGTGGGAAGACTGGAAAAACCCCACGCAGAAGAGCAGCATCAATGGACAGTGCAAGTGGCAAGTTTCTAAGAATAAAGGGCAAAGCTGGGAAGAAGAAACAGCAAGCACAAACTGCACCAGAGCAGACAGAAGGCAGCCCTGCTTCCCAACAAGCAAAGTGGTCTGAAAGCCCTTCTCATACAAGTGATGATTTTGAGGTATGGGCAGAGTTTCATAATCGAGCGAATCCCGTAGCAGGAAACATAAGTGGAAGACTTTCACCCATCTTGGGTAATGATGAGCCCGATGAACTGGAGGATGATGAGGTGACACCTTCCTCACCTCTTATGTACCCAAGCCCATCTAGTGCTCTGTCACCCAGCGCTCATTGTTCAGTTGAAATGCCAAGGCTTGCAGAAATGAGTAGTTCTATTGGTCTGGGCGAGGGACTTTCAGACCATTTATTAGATGAGTTGCAGGATGGTTACAGTGTAAACTCTACTACTTCCCTACGCCAACGGAGCCCTGGGTTCTCCTTCACCTCCAAATGCCCACCATTGAGCAACACATCAAATGCATTTTGTGGCACCATTTACAGTCCGCCAACGATGGGCATGATGAGAAGATTGCCAATGCAGACAATCCAAGAAAACAAACAAGCTACTTTCTCTCCTGGAAGTACCTACAGGAATTCTTCCCTCCAAGATCTTCTCACATCAATGTCCTATGGACATAAAGAAGCCATTGTGCAGACTGATCCAGGTTTAGCTTCTGCAATGGGACCACAGCGCAATCACAGGCAGAACACAGGCATGCTAAACAACTGTGACTCAGGGTCTTTACCCTACTCTACCAGTTTAATAAAGAGCCACAATTTGTACCATCCATCCACGCTAAACCATCATTGCTCTGTTAATAACAGTGCCTTAGCTAGCTTAAATGGACTGGTAAATTCAGAATCATGCAGTTTGTCATCAATTCCACATCATTCTTATTTCAGTAGTCAAAGTGGGCATGGAAGCTTGCTGGAAGGGCCATACCAGGGTGCATATCACCACCACCATCACCACCATCATCATCCCCAAGTGTGCAACCAAGACCGATTTCCTCCAGATTTAGACCTGGATATGTTTAGTGGTACTTTAGAGTGTGATGTGGAATCCATTATTCTCAACGACTTCATGGACAATGATGAGATGGACTTTAATTTTGACTCTGCTCTACCACCCCAAGGTGGGTTTAACATGGCTGCGACAGCACAGCCAAATCAAAGCTGGGTACAAGGTTAAAAAGTAACCAAGACCAGGTTGTGTGTAATGTAAGGTGTTTCCTGAAGGCAATCAAACAGATGTTTAGCTTAACTAGATATTTATTTGATATACAATGTTTGGTTGATAGTTTTCTGCAAATTTATGAAAGACCTAGGTTTCTAAAAAAATGTCTCTTGTTGGATAAGATTGTGGCTTCAATATTCTATATTATGGCTGTTATTTGAAATTCCATTTAGTTATAATAGCAGAGCTTAAAAAATGAACCTCCCATAAAATGTGGAAACAACTACAAGAATTTGCCTTTAAGACCATTGTCCTTCTGAGTGTTTGAGAACATGTGGTATGTTTAATTTTTTTTTCTTTTCATTAGGGTAAAAGTTGTCCATGTTCCTATGTTAGTCTGAGTAGGATCATTTGGGTGTCTTTTTTTGTTTCAGAATTAGAATATGAGTGACAAAATTCATATGTAGTTACCTTTGATGCCCTTATTTAACGCTGTAGTATTATATTATTTCAACAATACATTCAAATAACAGCATACATGCAATTTTTTGTAATGAAAGATAACATTTTTTTCAGAAATTCTCAACATTTTTCCATGCATTTAACTACAAAATATATTAGCTAACGATACCCAAACTGACAGGTCTTGTTTTTCACTTGTCTATACAGATTCACTGATCTAATAAACAGTATGGTTCTTTTTAACGGTCATTAATTAATACGCCTGCTAGAGCAACTCTAAGTCTGAAAAACATGACCTGTGTTGTGGTCACTGAGGACCAGAATTTGGAGACACTTCACTAAGATATTGCTCTTATGTCCATGCTGTCCACATAATCCACAAAAGAATCACTTTTGTGTTAAGATAACATGGATCCAGAACACTTTTATGAACTAACCGTTCTGAACTGGATCTAAAGGGTGCCTTACACTAAACATTTTAGTAACGTGACAAAAACATTAAAGACAAATGCACTTATGAGCAGGTTGTTCCTGGAAATAGAGAAATATAAAAGAACCAAAGATTGTGTGGTCAGATGACTGCCATATTAGCGGTTACAGTCTTCAGAAATGATTAATAATACAATTTAATGTTAGACTAAAGCCTAATTCTGAAATGTATATTTCAACAATTGACGGTGTTTCCATCTCAGATTCAAAGGAGTTGATTTACTGTTTTTGCAAGGAAATTTGCACTTTTCAAGGGAGTTTTCCAATCGCTTAGTAAATGTGGTGAAAATTCACTTTGCAAAAAAAAAAAAACCAATCACGAGCAAGGAAAAAAATACATTTTTGCTTGTACAGGATTGGATGAAGGAAGTCAGGAGAGCTTTACACAATTCACTGAACTGAGGGAAATATACTAAATCAACCCCAAATATTCAGATTCCAACTGTTGGTTGTTACTGGAAAGTATGAACATGATTGTTGACTGTGGGGAAACACAGTTTTTATTTAGGGGTCTTTTTTTCAGAATAAATCATTACTTCTAAAGCTGTTACTTCCACATCTCAATCTCAGTTTATGTTGGCCTCCAAAAAAAAAATTGCTTTACTGCATTGCTAAGTGCTGGAGCTTGTGTACAGGAGGGAGCAGAGTGAAGACCTCATCACTGTGCTGCTTATTTATCATCCTGTCAGTAGAATAGGAGAGGGTTGGTGACTCAGTTACTTTGCATTACTACAGTAAAGGGAGGTCAGCCAGGTTGGCTGTAGTGCCTGGAAGGGGATGTTGGGATCACAAGACCAACTGAATAGAATTCTTTGGCAGGTAACACATTTCACATGTACCTATAGACTTTTTTAGTCATTCCAGCAATCAATTCTTTTAAAGAGCATGTTGCACACATCAAAAATTCATCTCTGAACACTGTGACCTGTAATATGCAAGTTTTTATTTAAAGTTGTAGTCCATGCAAAAGTAATGTTATGGTTATGAGTGGAGTCTTGTAAGCTGAGCCACTTGCTGGCTTCCTATTTGTCTTGGTGACTTCAGAGGTGAAATTTCCCTACCATATTTCTTTGATCTTTTGCTATCCACCATGGAGTTACAATTGTTTTTGTCAATCTTGGGGTTTACATAATATCTTGGGGGTGTTACATATACATAATATATGATACATTAATTGTATCATATATTATGTTAAATTCAACAAGCAAAGTGGGCCTCCCTCACAAAGGTCACGGCAGATCAATATATCTCAGCTCAGACTTTTTGGGTCAGAGATCTCACCACTTGAGTCCCCTAGAAATATAAGAAAGTGTCCAACATCAACCAAATGCTTAAATATAAATTTTGAATGGATTGGCCCTTTAGGATGCTGTTTAAAAAACCTGGACCAATATTCTCCACCAATCTTTTCAGATGAGCGAGAAACCTCAAAGTCAGCTCTGTCAGGTGTTTGCAAAATGAGCTTGTTAAAACTATTGGGTTGATTAGCAAGGCTGTTGGACAAGAGGGTCTCCTTATCTTCCAGAATCAGAGCAGAGATTTAACCATTAAATCCACAATGAGCCAAAAGCTGGTATCATCAGCTCAGAGGACATTAATCACTATTAGTTTCTGCTATGCGTGCATGGTGTGACCACAGGGGATCAATTGCTCGATTGCACTACTGAACATCTCTTATGTAGCAACTCATTAAAAGTAATATTATACTTGTAACTAACGCAGAGTTAAAGACCAACAAGAGAGGTTGTGGCGGAGATTCATAGGGTCTTATTTATGAAAGATGCAAAGAAATTATGACAAATTCAGATTTCTTTTTTCATCACAGGTTTGACAGTGAAAATAAGGGCTGATGTGGGCAACATCCCTATTTATTTTCCAGTTTCAAATCTTCCAGCCTTGGTCTGTCCTACCAAAAGTGATTTCAGTTGTAGGTAGAGCCTGGTGTACAGAACTCACATGGTTCTTGAGGTTTTCACAAGGATTGATGTTAGATAACACTGATTAATGTTAGAATTTCCTAAGAGAATTTCAGGAATAGAAATTACTTATAAAAATCTTAAACTTGGAGACAGTACATACATACAATCCACATTGTAACAAATGATAAAATCTCAGACTTCAGATGCAGCATAATTATCCCTTAACGACCATCAGATAAAACCCTAGGATTTTACTAAAAGTTAATACATTTGGTTAAAAAGGCTAAATAAATGTATACAATGAACGATATATAAATGTGAAAATTGGTTGTTATGGGTGACAACGAGGTCTAATAAGACACGTGTAGTAGCCCATATATATCTAACTCCCTTATGTTGTTCTTGGGTTCAGATATCCTTTAAGTGAAGAAAAAAAAAAAACTAACATCTGTTTGAACCCACACATTATGGCTAATTGCACTGCCATGTTAAGGTTCAAAGATGTCCTATGTTCCCCTGTGTTCTAAATTATCTTTTTGTTTGTCCCATATTATACGTATTTATGTATAGACTTGAGCAACAGTTATTCTGTAGATTTAAATATGTTATCAAAAGGTCAGAATAGCTTCCCTTACCTAAATTCAGCCCAACTGCCATTGAACAGAAGCCAACTTCAAATTTGAGCAATGTTCAGTAATACTAAAGTACTAGTTTTGTATAAATTCACTATTTATTCTTATATTCTACAAAAAAAGGGAAAAGGATTCCAAGAAATTAAAGCACTTGTTCCTCCAAAGAGCACAAGCCGGCAAGAGAAATCATCCTTATTTGCCATAACAATAAAAGGGCATTTTTACTGATAAAAAAATTGCACAGTGTTTTGTAAAATGGTGCTAAAAAAGGGTTATAATTATATGTGGTATTCACTACATATTTAACTGCATGCAGTCTGAATAGTCTAAGTCCTTTTTAATGGTAGGTTCCTACTTCGTGACCTGGACAGCTATCTAAGGACCTGTGTCAATGGTCATTTCTATATGCCAGATGGGTTCTGCAGTCCCGCAGGTCAAAAGGAGGTCAACTACTGGTCAAATGCACCTGTCAATAATTTCAAATGATCTCCGAAGTGTCTCAGAGTAATGTCAAACTAATGTAATTGATGCAAGCCCAAAGCCCATTAACCCAGGCCCTAAAGCATCACTTTTTAGAATGCAGCGACATTTGGGGAAAGGCTAAATTTTTTAAAAACTTTCTAATCTTGTGACTTTTAAAACAGTGTAATCTGCTTTGTAGTGTGCGTGCAGTTCATATATGAAATTCGGGACTCATTTCACTCATTTAAAAAAAAAAAACACCATACAGTTTCATTCAGCAGCTTACCAACTTGACCCAAACCTAACTCAGCGTTACTTTGAATTGCATCAAAAAAGAATTAAGGCAGTATCCCAATCGTATGGTGGTGAAACTGTAGCTCAAGGTTGTGCAATTGTGTGTTGTATGTATTTATTTTAATGGAAAAGTATATATAAAATTGAGATAGATCTGCTGTAAAAGTTAGGCTTCATTCACACCTACAATAGTAGGTGCGTTTAGGGATTCTTGCGTCAGGAACTTGCAAATACCTGCAGAAGGAATCCCGAATATGCTGTTTAGAAGAGGCAGGTGTCTCCTGTTCAAGTTAAAGATCGGGTGACAGCAGCCACATTTGAATCCGCATGTAATCATATGTGATTGCATCAAATGCTGTTAGGAAGTGATCACTATCCCTGGATGCAGGATCAATGTGATACGATTACATGCTGTTAAGAATTGATCACTATCCCTGGGCGCATGATTGATGTGATACGAATTCAGCTGCTGTCGTCTGGCCATTAACTTGAATGGGTGACACCAGCCACTTCTAAACAGTATATTTGAGATTCCTGCTGCAGGAATCCCTAAATGCACTTACTCTGGTAGGTGTGAATGACACCTTAGTGTATTATTGATGTTACTGGTCTTGAAATTTGTTTTCCACATAGAAGGGGAAAAAACTCTAAGCAGGCCTAATATTTAACTCTTCCCTCTCTCCAGAAACAGCAAATAACAACAACCCAAAATCCACCATATTGCAGCTATAAAACTATCCATCACCTAGCAATAGGG